ACAATTCAGAGTCACAAATAAGCATATAGATTGAATAAATGCTTTATAACAGTGTACAATGCTGAATAAAACGGGTTGTCAAATAATGGCTCAGAAAACCTCATTGAGATCGATGATGCGCCTTTATTCCGCTGATTGCTCTGATTTGATTAATATACTTATTAAAATCAATACAAACGATGACTGTCTTCCTAATTCAACACCAGAAGTTTGATCTAATAACATATTGAATAAGTGTAATTTGCACATACATTGACGCTTTAATCCGACTGTTTCAATTGATTTAATAACATGCTTTATTATACGTCTAATAATTGTTTTCTAGCTCCATTACTAGATTCCATTGCATTGCTTAACAATATTGCTGAATAAAGGTGAATACAGTCAGCATAATAGCTCTTATACCACTATGCGTCCATGTTTTAATTGCATGCTTTATAAATGCTTTACAAACGGCGTATTCATTCATTATTCCACAACAGTGCTTCAGGGTAGCAAAAAAAAAAGAAATTGGTAGCATAGTGGCTACCGTTTCCGCTTTCCAAGTAGAAGGCCGCGAGTTCAATCCCAGCCTTAACCCTTTTTTTTATTTATGTTCTACTCCTAATTAATTTAAATCGCAATCATAAATCGTATCACTCACGACAACCAATTCATAGATCTATAGAAAAGAATAGCATGTGTGTGTATGTATGATTATGTATGTAATAAATTCGACAGAAATAATGACACAACAATCACTAACGAGAACAACCCTGCTCTGTGCCGTTCTTATTTTCGGATTAAATATCCCGTAGTTGAATAATCGCTTAATAAATGTATAATGATGTAATAATTAAACATTATTTCACATGAGAATCAAGCGTCTATATACACCTTTATACCATAGCTGTTTAAGGAAGCACAGATGTGTCTAATAAACGCTGAATAATCAAAAATTTGATCGAATAAGCTCTGTTACAACTCTTGTAAGTCGAATAAAAGCTTATCGACATACCTAATTCAACACCAAATATTTCGATGTTGTGGTTGAATAAATTCTCCAGATTTGTGTGAACAAAGCCTGAACAGAAGTTATTATTAAAAATAGTACAAGTATTATTAAGCATGAAATGGAATAAAATCGTTAAGAAGTCGTTTCTTCAATAGGCAATTGTTTGGTGGGTTGTAATTGATTATTGACAATTTATCTGAAATTTGGCCATTTTGGATGTTTTCAAAATGGCGTATTTGAAATGTTTCTAAAATTGTTTGCCAATGTTGAAAATAGAAATAATGTAAATTTTATGATAATGTAAAGTAAAAATTTCCTCTGAAAATGAAATAATTTTCCTCCATCCTTTCATTTTCAGAGGAAATTTTTATAAACAAACTAAAGGCGCTCCTATGGGCAATCCGCTTTCTCCTTTTTATGTCAATTGTTCATGGTATAGGTACGTGGATGACATCTTTAGCATTGTCAAAAGGGAAGATTTATCAAAAACTTCGGAGGCCATAAGCAACGTTCACAAGGACATCAAATTTACTCACGTAGAAGAGAGAGACGGCAAACTCCCCTTCTTAGATCTTCTCATCATCAGGGAAACGTCGAATCCCACCGGTGCCCTTAGATTTTTTCGCAAATTTTCTCACACACACACACGTCTCTTACCGATGTTATGTGCTTACCTCTCAGTATGTTCAAACTTTCTTACGAAAAGTGGTCAGGTTTTGACCACTTATAACTCTGTCAATAGCCGATGGATGTTAATTCTTAACAAACCAATCTATTGAAATTGTTTTTCTACGTATCGTCTAAAATTAACAATTTAGCAATTTATCAAAATTATCACCTATTGCCTGCAAAAAGCGCTTTTCCGAACACAGATCTCAAAATCGAATTCCATCTTATCTCACCGAACGGTCGCCGATCAGCAGCAGCAGCAGCAGTGCTTTCAGCGCGTGGCGTTGTACATTTTTCTCCAGTATACAACGAAAGGCTCCCCGCAAGCAGCTAGCTAACAAGGCTGCCTGGATTCACCGAAGAAGGAGGAAGAAGCCGCATCGCTACTGATCGAATTCAGTTGCTCGTCGTGAGCCGCTGTGGGCCATCTATGCCAAGCGCGTCACCCTTGTTCCAAACAACATACAGCTCGCCAGCCTCATCCGTGCTGAACACCCTAATAGCTCAGAATTACTCAACCATCACGACGAAACGGTTCTTTTCAGGACCAACATAAATTATTTGTTGTTCAAGAGTTAATTTTCATAGAACGTTCGATCGCCTTGCTGCCAGCCACATCACCCCCAAAGCTCTTTGATATTGTACCCAAGAACAAAACGTTTGTGGTAAAATGCGTCTAGTATTGAAGTGTTACATACAAATTCTCGCAATGACCGATTACCACATGACCGTTTCAATTAACCAGCAACACTTCGAATAAAATTCTCCAGGACGCTAGAGAAAAGCAAAAAAAAATGGAATTTATATGATTGATCGCGAATATCTCACGCAATTGAAATTTCTATTATCTATTGAGTAAACCAAAAATTCCGTGCGTTTTGTGCACAAAAATGCGTAATTTTGTCATCAGAAAACGAGGCATTTCCGTGATGGGAAAAAGTGGTTCCCCTAATACAGTCGCCGAATATGAATACTGAGAACGTAATCCTACGCAGTGTTAGCAAAATCAGAAATCAATTGATATTTTTCCGCTCTCATGCGCTCACAATATCACGCGTGATATTGGAACAAAATATCATGCTTGATATTGATTTTACAAGCTCCTTTAATATTGCGAGACTATTCACAACGTGCAAAAATCAAGCTGAGAGTTGACTCGACACAAAAATGATTCCATTGCACATCGTTTTTTTTTTTAAGAGAAAGCATAGTTTGCTATCTCTTTTTAATCTTCACCGATGGGAAAGGGACTGTTGCAAGCCGTTATGGAAGTTTCGGTTGCATTCAGGTGTAAAGCCAAAATCATGTAATTCAATCTCACCACAGTTTGGTGAGATTTGCAGTTGGTGAGTTTTGTTAGCTTGATATTCTGAGCTGTGCATGCAATACCAACCGCAGTAGTTTGCTTGTTGATTTTTGTCTACGAAAATCAAGCGTGATCTTGGGCGTTGGTGAGATTTGATTTTTTGATATTTTTCCAACACTGATCCTACGTCAAATCTACGGTTGTGTCTTGGATACAACCTCTTACTTTTTTGTTCACGTATCCATAAACAAACCTATGAGCAAAATTTCGGCCCATTTTGTCCGATAATGGAAAAAAAAACCATAATAACAAGAAAACTAATTCCTAGTATGCCTGCAAATTGCTCTTTATACAATCTAACGCGACTAAACGGCTAATATAGAGCTTCCAAACTTTATAGGAGTGGAGAACTTAATCAAACAAATACTTTCACTAGGTAATTGTTATTTAAAAGCTCAACAAGTCTACCATTGCAACTGTTTAATTAATAACAATTCCAGGGCTGTTACAACAAGCACGGATTTCGCGATTTTCGCGGATTTGTCGCGGATTTGAGCTTTCAGTCGCGAAAATCGCGGAAACATTAAATGATGTCGCAAAAATCGCGGAGGGACTGATGTGCTGTCACAAAAATTGTGGAATTCATTGTAATCTTTCCGTCCCGGATTATTTTGCTGTCATCAATTTTGCTGTTCATTTGGCTCTCACATTTTTACCGGTTCAAACTAAACACCCTGCAAATAATGGAGAAATGATCTCAATTCCATAAGTCGTACCGGATTTACACGGAAATTCAGCTACAAAGCAAGTCCATGCTAAAGACGACTGAGTTCGATTCTCGTCCGGTCTTTTAATTTTTCGGGTTGGAAAATTTCTCTACTTTCTAGGATAGGCATAGAAAGCTCTCAATTAAAATGTGAAAGTACTTCAAAGAACACTAAGTTGGAAGCAGGCAAAAATCTAATATGCTATAAGCAATAAGTTTCAAATGCCATGTAGTAGTATACAAATAGTATTTTTAAACAATGAAAACAATTTTTTTTTTGTCGTGGATTAGTATTTGAAGTCGTGGATTTCTTTTGAGAAATCGCGGATCTAATTTAGAAAATCTTGTAACAGCCCTGCAATTCAAGGGAAATATAAATTGCGATAACGATACTCTCAAGGCTATTAAGAAAATATCATCAATACACAGGCAAACATTAGCAGCATACGGCAGTCTGCAGTTGGGAAGTCAAAACAATGTAGCAGACTTGAATCGAACCTTGAGCGATCAGATTATTGAGTCGGTGATTTGTATTCAAGTCTATCGATGCTTAGCAAGTCTAGCCCCGTGTAGTACGACAATCATAAGCCACGGTTGTCGAGTACATAACCAATGCCTATGAAAGCCGTGACTTATGAAATCAAAGCATTTCAGGTTCATAAGCCATACCTTATGGAATTCTTAAGCTATTTTGTCTCAGTGCACATAAAAAGAAGTAATACAAAATAAAAGTTCACCTTCTAGAACTTTCCGGACTTTCTACACCAAACAAAAAACGAATAACAGAACCACATGTCATTCTATGACACACACAATCTATGTAGGTATCTAACGATGCATCTCGAATAAGTTATTCTCTGAAAATGTGGCAACCCTTTCGCAACGTGTAGCCGATCCGTATGTGTGTATCCTGAAAGTGGCAAACGCTCGGAAGGAGATGATGATGTTGCAACATCCACCTGTGCTGTGCTGCCCGGCATCCTCAAATGCTCATACTTTACGTGTATATCTTCCCGTGCAAGAACGTACGCCTAGGCAAAGAGAAACTTTAATGAAACTTTACTGCATAATGTTGAAATTTTCTCTGCTTCATCTCGTTTCGTTATAATTTAATTAATTACGCTCTCGTTCTCATGTGCTGCTTCGTCTGCCGCCCTGTCCTTTTCCCTAATCACCCTGGCTCGCCCTCGTCCCTAGGTGTCGTATAACCGAACCGGCTGACTAATGCACATCGTTTCTCTGTCTCTCTTCTTCCGTTTCCACAGATCCGAGGCAACAAGCACAGTCTCATAATCCGAAATGTGACTCGCACCGATCTCGGAAACTACACCTGTCAAGCCTCCAACACCCTGGGCAAGGACCGTGGCACCCTGAGCCTGAGCGGTCTGCCAACGGTTTGCTACTTTGAATCGGTATGTGGTTTTAATTAAAATTTAATACGTTCCCGCCTCGTCGTATCAATCATGTATCCACAATTACTTTTTTTTTCATACTAATTTATCAACTTCCCACAGCCGACGATAAGCAGCTACCGGGACCAGTACAACATCTCCTGGACGGTGCAGAGCTACTCGCCCATCGAGGAGTACCGTCTGTTCTACCGGCTGCAGTCGGCGTCCAAGAGCCACCTGCTCCACTCGAACACCCACGACAAACCGCTGGATAATCACATCTATTCGCATTCCACCTACGGATCGCACAGTGGCGGCGCCGGTGGGTACAACCCCGGGGGCCACATCGGCAGCGAACAGTGGGAAAACGTCGTCATTCCGGAGATGATGGCCAGCTACAACGGCATGCGCGGGGGAATGTTTTACAACACTCCGTACAACTACCAGCCGGGCATTCGGCACCGGATGAGTTTCCAGCTGAAGAACCTCCAATCGGGAAGCAACTACGAGGCACGGGTCCAGGCCCGGAACGAACACGGCTGGAACCGGCTGTCGAGCATATTCCACTTCTCCACCCGGTCGGAAGGTGAGTTTGGGAAAGGGGGGGGGGGGGGGTGTTTTTTGTCACTCATCGAGCTGGGTGTCGTCGTTCTTCAAAAAATATCAGTGACAGCGATGGCATATTTCCGGAGAACTTCGAGATTAGAGCGTAATTTCTTTTGTAAACAAACACTTTGACGATTCCTCGCGAATTAAAGCTCAATCTAAAAAACTCACAACACATACAGGTAGATGAATGGTTCCTCTATCATTTGGAATAGTTTGTTCACAAAATTGTTCTTTTATTCGCGAGAAATCAGCGATTGACATGTTTGTTTACAAAAGACATTATGCCAAATCTCAAAGTTCTCCGGATTTAATGCCCGCTAAGTGAGAAATACCACCAATGGCGCAATGTGTCTGATATATTATTTCTAGAGGAAACAGCCCTATTGTTGCGGTACGTTAGCAGCGTTAGAAGCCTATTGTTGTGTATGGAGACCTCCATACACAACAATAGGCTTCTAACGCCGCTAACGTACCGCAACAATAGGGCTGTTTCCCCTACATAATGTTACCAACAATCAATACGAAACTAACGATTTTAAATTGGCTCACTACTTGACTAGCCTATTGGTCCCAAGCAAATCGACTAACGTACCCCATTCTAGTATAAATTCCAGTACTACACTATGTTTGTTTTGATCCGCTATGAAAGTTTGACAGATAAAATGAGGGGTTAGTGGATTTTCATATGTTACGAGGGGTGAATCGATTAGCTTGGGACCGAAGATAGTACCAGAGCTGAGCCAAAAAGTTGAGCTCGTTTCTTCGGAATCTCTGGTCTTAGAGTTACATCTATGACGTTACTATTACTAAAAAGAATTAAATGTAGAAATTTCTTCACCGCTAGAAGCAAGATTTGAAAATCTCCATACCGCAAAACTGGTTAATTCACCACTTGCGGGGCGACATCTGTCGGATTTGATGGAGGAAACTAATACCAACCGGTGGAAACTAAAGATTTTAAATTGGCTCACTACTGGACTAGTCTATTGGTCCCAAGTACATCTATAAGCGTACCAAATCTAAGTGAAATTCTAGTACTACACTATTTTTGTTTTGATTCGCTATGAAAGATTGATAGATAAAATGAGGAGTTCGTGGATTTTCCTATGTTCCACGTTTCTTCGGGACCTTCTGGTCTTAGAGTTATCTCTATTGTAATAGCAGGCATACTTTTTGGCTCAGCTCTGGTACTCTCTTCGGTCCCAAGCTAATCGATGCACCCCTCGAAACATAGGAAAATCCACGAATCCCTGATTTTATCTGTCAAACTTTCATAGCGAATCAAAACAAACATAGTGTAGTACTGGAATTTATACTAGAATGGGGTACGTTAGTCTATTTGCTTGGGACCAATAGGCTAGTCAAGTAGTGAGCCAATTTGAAATCGTTAGTTTCCACCGGTTGGTATTAATTCACAGCAAAGTATTGCCAAGGGGCGCTCAAATGGCGATTAACTATGAGTTCTTAAAAAGATACTGGTTCAAACAAGCAAATGAAAACAAAAAGTTGAGCACGTTTCTTCGGGACCTTCTGGTCTTAGAGTTACCTCTATGTTAATACTGTGAGCAACTTGTCATCATTTTAACCATGAATCACAATGCTTCATCATTTGAATTAAATCCTTTATGAAAAGTAATAGCTCCGACCCGTTGTTGACAGCACCTGATGAAATCAAGCAAATTTCCGCCAGTCAGGAAATTTCCACTCACATAAACAGACGCCTTTGCTTATTACCCGATCCCGAAAATAGCCTACTTTGCTAAACGTTCGTTTTTCTTCTCCCCTCCCTCCCTACAGACATGGAACTGGAGCCGTCAGCTCAGCCGGCCGTGCACGGTGCTGGCCTGCTAGACAAGGGTCTGCTGGGCCTCGGCAGCAACGACGCGGCAGCGCCTTATTTTCATAAATCATCGACTTGCGGTGGTCTGCTGCTGGTCCTGTTGGCCGTGGCCGTTGCGATGGCGGCATCGCAGCAACTGCCGCTAGCAGCCGGCGGCGGCTTATCGGCATGATTTGCATTGTTTCCGTTTTCCATTCCAATAAATCACTAGGCGATCTACGCACCTAATTAAGGCTAAGAATAACAGCAAACATACCATTCAAACCCGATATTCCGAAATAAGAAATGAACCACCACCATCACACCAGCCAGTTGAGCCGCCATCAACCACCTCGTCGCCGCGCCATCGCCATCATCACAATCAAATATACACGAAACTCTTCAGCTGGAATTATAATGCAAACACACGATAGGGCAAAAAAAACTAACGGTCGTACATACTCAACTTTTCCTTAATTTTCGTGTGCAACTTAAATCACCCACAATTATCCGAATCTCTGTCCCACACCAAAGATATTTCACAATTTTGAGGTTAGATTCCCAACGGCTGACAGCTGACTTGATTTCCCGTACATAGTAGCCATATTTTTTGTACCAAAGATGTAGAGAAATTGAGAGAAAAGGAAGACGAAACAAGAGACTTTAAGGTAAACAAAAACTAACGCAAAAAAATAAGCGAATGAGAAAAGAATGACAAAGTTGTGTTAGAATGAAAATAAATGCATATTTATTGCGTCAGCAAACGATAGAAGGTAACCTTATTTTCAAAATTGTGAATACAAACACCTAACGTAGAATGTAAACATCAACTCATCAGCAGACAGCGTGTTAAACAGATGGCATGTAAAACGAGCCGAAAGGGTAAGATAGTCCCAGTTTAGTATGGTGTCGAAAAGTTTCTGCATTCGGAAGAAGACAACACATTTTCTGGGTGTAAAAATTAGAACGTCACGACGAAAGTGCGAAGACAAGTGTGTTTAGAGTTAAGATTGATTCAGTTTAGTCTGCACAACTTTTTATTCCTCATACATAGAGTTCCATGCGAACGTTATAATTCCAAAACAGAAAGCAGCCATCCTTTGCTTTTTTTCCAGTGACACACTAAACGATTGAATGAATTCTATTACTTATAAGTCTCAAAAGACACACGTAAGCATAAGTTAAGTAATAAAATTTTATAGTTGAGTAAGGTAAACAAAGGAAAAACATCAAAATAAGCGAAACTTAACCATAGGCCTTTCTAATCACACGGAAAATATTACACAGAATGTCATCAAAGGCAGCCAGCACACACCGCATGTCAGTCCTAACAGCTTGATCGAAGAAAAATCTCTGTATGTGTGAGCAGCAAATTTTAAAATCAACAACAAAATCTACCATTTTACCGCCGATTAGTCACGAATTGATATTTTCTGTAAATAGCAAATTTCACCTGAAAAGAGAAAAACAAATATCATCAAACCGTCGAAAAACTTTGTTGGAAGCATTGCCAAAAACCTCAGAACAAAGATGTAATTAACTTAATCCACACTAAATCAATGCTTGAGTAAAAAAAAACAAAAACAACAACCATCACAGCAAACACACACAAACACACGTAAATCTGATTGATTTCCATTAGTTTGTTTTTGTGGGACCATATTAAATGAAAATATAATAAACTGATGTGAAAACATACAAACCAGAAACGGGACGATAACGGCCGCCACCGCCATTGGCAGTTCTGACAACCATTCACTCCGTCTCCCGCCTCCCCTTCCCCCTCCAATCATGTGTTTGTGTGTTTGGAACCAGGCATGCAAAACAAATTGATAATTGATGGATAATTACAGCGTGTATATCGATGGATGAACATGCAAAAACAACATCAAGACGAACCAGCAGCAACCGCAGCAGTTTTTTTTTTGTTTACTCTCTTGTTCTCATAAATACAAAAAAAGCACTCTACCAACTCTGCATTGTATTGCATTATTATCAACTCGCCATGCCATTACAATTTATCTGATTTTCCACTGCACTGAAATTATGTCACCCACCCTCCAAGACCTACTGTGCTTCTCTGTTCTCTCGCCAACAAAGCTGCTGCCATGTCACCTCTTCTACAGTTTATATCACCTCACTCTCCAAGAGAACGAAAGTGAAAATACGCACTTCACAAATCCAGAAGTAAAGCGCTATAATGAAGTAATAAACGATGCAAAATATCGAATTTAAAACAAACAAAAAAACCATCACCGAGAACATGCATATTTGCGAGATGAACCGAAAGCTGACATGGCAGCGCGTTCTGACATTCTCATTCGGCAAGATAACAAACGAACAAATTGATTTTATTGCGAATGTTCCCCTGTTCTCCCCCGTTATCCCTGTCGGTGGGCTGAAACGCGATACCGTGGTCCAGCACGATCGATGAGACTAGCTCATAATTGAGTCGAATGAGTAAATTTTTCCTCGATTTCCCTCAAAAATCGGCTCAAATATCAAGAAAATCGATGAAGTTTACGAGTATATACTCAACTTTTTTCAATTTTGAGTCGAATTTGACTGAATTTTGAGCTACTCTCATCGGCCGTGCGACAACAGCGGGATATCGATCTGGCTTTTCTCCTGACAAGGTCACACATTCCCGAAATGAGCTTTCGAGCATCGAACCGGTATTAATCCTCGCTTCAGGGTTGCTTCCACTCACTTCGCTATAAAATATAGTATTCGGAGTTCTGAAACCACTATAATGATACATAAATTACTACTTGTAAATTACAAAAATAGATTGTGAAGTATGTGTTTGGTTCACTCAGAGTGAGCGCTCACGAATCATAAAATCGCTGATTGTGACTCTCTGAAACCGAAATTGACAGGCGTTATGTGTCAAACACATACTTCACAACCTCTTCTTGTAACTTTCAAGTACAATAATTTCGTAATTCCGAAAAACAATGTTCATAGCGAAAAGATGGACACAACCCTGCCTCGCTTCCTGGAATCGAGAATTTCCGTTTATTTACTCGAAACATTTTTCAGCTCGCCATAGATATATGTAGATTAAAATATAAAAGAGAGAGAGAGAGAGTAAAACGTACATGTAAATACTGAAACAATTATCCAGTAATGTTTTGTCCTTGTCAAAGAGAACGAGCAAATAGCTGAGATTCAAAAAAAACACAGAAACAAAAACAAAATAAAAGAGATCAACAAATTATGCGTCCTACAACGACGTCTATGACAAGATTACCATTGATGGCTTTAGGAGAAAATTTAAACAGATGAAACTAGTACCGGTGGAACGAACCGACAATGGAGAAAAAATAAAACAAAACAAGAAGAGTAAAAACCGATAGTTTAAGAAGGATGAAAACAGAAAGTATTGTAAAATATATATTAAAGAAAGTGATTAATAAAAAAAGGGAAATATAATCTTAATCGTTCGTTTGTTTGTGCACTTGATATTTCACAATCTTCCTTCACGGTGAATGAGAACGACTCAAATTTAAGTTTAGTTCACTCATAATCGCCAAAAGTGTAGGAACTCAGCGATGAGTTAAATTGCATCATGTTTTCCCAGGTTTTTCCAGGATTTTCCAGGGAAAAATTCCCGAATTTGAGAAAAGTAAAGATTGGATTCACTCAGTCTATTGGTACTACTCCGAGACTGAATAAAATTTTCGTCAATTTCCTCATTTTCCGGCAGATTTTTTAGGTTTTCCACAGGAAACCATGGGACAAATTTTACTCATCGCTGAGTTCCTGCACTTTTGGCGATTATGAGTGAACTAAACTCAAATTTGAGTCGTTCTCATTCGCCGTGTTGGTTTTATTCCATGAATCGAGTCAAGGGGTTTCTATCTATCACCAATTTGTCGTCGGTATTTTAACTCATGAATTTCAAAGAAATAACAATTGCATTGTACGTCGCTCCAGTCGGCTCTCAGCATTATCACAGGACTGAAACGCAACCATTTAATTATTATTCATGAATCTGTTCTCAAGTAGCAAATTGGTTTGCTCTTCTTCAGTTGAATCCCACCAAACAAAAACTCTGAGCCAGGAGTGCTCGAGCCCCATGACTCTCACAAAGTTTGTTTACATTCTTGTTTCGCCAGAATACGAATTATTGAAATTGCAACTCAGCTGAGTCATAAAAACTGTGCTGGTTTTTACGCTTTCTTCACTGAGCCTATTGGTTCCTGGCAATAATGATTCGTTCCTATGAGATGACAAAACTTGACGATAGATAATAAGAACAACTACATTTGAGGCTACTGAATGTTTGGCTCTCGTTTGACATTTCACATAGGCTCCATATGGAATGAGACCGCTTAACCCAGATCTGGGAGGGAGAAGCATGCTGCAGATAGCACACACGGAATTCAGCCTATAGTTTCATAATAACGAAAACTATCATTTTAGCTGTAAAGCCATAGCACAAACGAAGTGACAGACGGAGCGGCTCGAAAACTTTGGTGACTAACCTGCTATTGCAATTTTTCAGTGTACCACATGGCAACACCACTACATACTAGGGTAAACGCTCCTATAGTTGCGGTACGTTAGAAGCGTTGGAGACTCAATACACAACTATAGGAACCTAAATTAAATTTAAGTTTACCTAGTTTCTAAGTGAAAATGTACCTGTGTTAATATATATTCGGTAAATGCGATGTTTTTCTTCAGTCGAGTATTAGTACAAGACACTGAAGAAGTCTGCACATTGTAGACGAAATACGCGTATCTGTCAAGGATAAGCAAATAAAGTAGTGGAATTAAATGGAAAATACTAATCCTTCTCTCTCTCATTATCCTGCTAAATATGTTAAACATCGTTATCACTATGAGATTATAGGGTAAATGTCGGCTTCGGCACCCATTGACTGTTTTCGGCAATCAAAATTTAAACGTTAATTTCACTATGTTTTACCATCAACACACTTCCCTGAATGAAGTGAGTGAATCCAAATGATTCTTTAGACTTTCAGCTTCAATCTGATTATATTTGTAGGACCGAGCAATCCTTTTATGCCAGATTTTTCTTCAAATGAAGCATACGTAATACAAAATGGGGCTGATTTCGAGTTGCCGATAATAGAACAGCTGGTTAACACGCAGTTCTAATGGGAAGGTTGCCGAAGAAAAAGAGGCTGCCGACAATAGTCACACTCACCTGAGAAGTTTAGTGCGTTGTAAAAACGCTTTCAAACAGTTTTGAAGAATTCTGTCGATTGGAATGGATAGAGAAGCAAGCAGCAAATGAATTGAAACAAACAGACACGTCATATATGTGCGTGACGCTGTGAAAATGCTAATAGAAGTGCGGACTCTGCTTAGATTGACGAGAATACGTAAATTCCCCTATGTGTTTACTTGGAAATAGGAATAACTTTTCGGTCATCAAAACAAAACTTTATTTTTCTCGGATTGGTGCGAATGTTACTTACAACATAATGAAAATTTGCTCTTGAATTATTGACTAGAATGCATGCTGCGTTGGCCACACTGTAACTGGCGAGTATCCATTAATGGGTGAAAAAGTACCCATTTTGTGGTAGTGTATGGACCTGTCAAAAAATGCGTAAATGAAAATTTCAAATAGTGGGTACTTTTTCACCCATTTCCGAAACCTGTTCAGGGATCAAAAATGGGTACATATTTACCCATTATTGGGTGAAAAATATCTTTGTTGCACCATAACGTTGCTGACATACTTGGTTTACATTTTCGAGTGCCTTTGTTCCGTTTTGAAAAGTACAAAAAGTGATATATATCCTAGTATATATCTATATATATGAATAGTTTAAAGAATGGTGATAGCTTCAAAAAGCTTCAAGGTAAGAAATACTATATGATTTGAATGATTTCTTAGCTTATAACGTTGTTAAAAGCATATTTGTTTCATTCCACAAATTTGAGTCCCATAAATACATTTTTAAAAATGGGTACTTTTTTACCCAGTTACGGAAAACAATGCGTTCTGGAAATGGGTAAAAAGTACCCCATGATTTGACGTATAAGCTCTTTACCCATTAGTGGGTAAAGACGTTTTAACCATTTTATGAGTTTACCTACTTTACCGCGAAATGGGCACTTTTTCACCCATTAATGGGTACTTTCCAGTTACAGTGCAAAGAAGACGGCATTTACTGGAGTCGCTTTTTACGAGGTTTTTTTACACGGTTTTTTACGCGGTTTTTTACGTGGATTTCGGAATTTACGCGGATTTCGGAATTTACGAGGTTTATCTTAATACACTGGAGTCGCTATTTACGCGTTTTTTTTTACGTGGATTTCGGAATTTACTTGGTTTTTTTACACGGTTTTTTTTACGCGGTTCGTACCCTATCAACCAGCTTTGCCTTCGATTGACAGGTGGTACTGAGCGCAACGAGAAAAGCTATCACGTAGTGGATCTGAACATAACTGGTACGCAGAGCCACGCTAAGGAGTACCAACTAAAGGGAGTTCGAACGGTGAAAGAGTTGTTGCTACCATAGACCTACAACTTCTTCTCAGCCGTCATTTTGATCTAAGATGCCGGTGCCAGTGCACAGTGGTGCCAAGGGTATCAAAACACGCGCTTTTTTATTTACGCTGAAATGGATGATTAAAGGTACTAGGGGTTTTCTGAGAAGTTTCTCGGGTTACAACACTCCTTCTTATGGTAAAAGAAAATTAAAGATTAAAACAAGAGTGAGGTGTGCTCCGGGGATGCTCTGCAACTTTTGCCATCACATATGACAACGGTGAGAACAGTGATATCGACGAAGAGGAAACTGCAAGCGCTCTTTGAGGTTCGTACAATTTGAATCGGAACGTAATAAACATTAAACATGAAAGATTTTGGTATTGTTTATTGACAAAATCGAAAAATATTTAAAGTACATAAGTGATTCAGTCA